ATAAATGGAATATACAGCCAGTAAGCACCCAAAATCAAGGTTTTCTCTAAACTCCACGAAAGAGGCTACTTGAGAATATTATGCAATATTGGCATGATTGTTGTAGATGTAACCAACTGTTTTCTGATTAGATTTGAGTTTCATTCTACAGGACAGAATCCATGACTGGTACTGTGAACAAGGACAAAATCTCATGGCTGGGAAAATAATAGATACTAGGAGGAACCAACTGCTATTATTTACCTAACTTGATGTAATAGCAAATTCCTTCTAACTATGTTTAGACAAGTGCTGCTCTCATAGAAGTCTCTTGTCAGCAAACAACAGTGAATGCAGAGAGTCATGGCTGCTCAAGATGCTTAGGATAAATGATGGTTTAATGCTCAGTCTTCAACAAGATCTACACAGGTTCCCTCCAGGGCTCAGGGACCAGCAGAAATAATGTTACGAGTTGAGGATATGAAAGAAGACTGTGAAATGCCATCTTCTGGGACAAGACACAGCTATTTTAATTTTGAACTCACAGCACTGTGGTTACCTGCATAAAACTGGTCATGTCAACAGTCAGTCATGGATCTAGGGAGGGGCTCATGGAGCCTTTTCCCATGAACTGTAGGCTACTGATAGATTCTAGATGAGCGGAGTCCCTGTCCTCACTTGTACACCCACTGCTGATCCCATCAGGCACCATGAAAACTTCTAAATCCATGAACACACAGATACAAATGTAGATAAGAGACTTGTAGGGCGAGTGGGAGGTGACAATAATGAGAGGGGGTTGCAAGAAGGTAGATGTGAGAGCTATCAGAAGACATTGTACATGTGTGAAACTGTCAAAGAAAAAATTAATTAATAAAAACTAAAGATTAAAAACTTACAAGATGATAAAGGTGTTATTTGGTTGTAAAGAAATCGTTATGGAATACCTCAATGGTGCCTAGCAAAGAGAGGGGAGAATAAAACGTAATTCCTTCCTACACAAGCCTTCATCTTTTTAGTACATGCTGTGACTTCTTCAATTACCAGGAAGAGAAGTAGGTCTCATAGCAAGGTAATACCCTGGAGGGACATTTTTCTCTTCAGAAACTAATAAAGGCATTTACCCCCTTGAGGAGCAGTGAGGTGAATAGAACCATCATTGCAGGGAAATTTTAAAGGCATTTATGTTCTATTCTGAGCACCGATGGTTTCCAAATATGTTGGTGTTACTAGGTGTCTCACGAAGACATCTTTTAGTGTTCTTTTATATTTCCTCAAGCCACCCTAATGATGCTCTCTGTAGCGCTTCAACTCAAAGGTCACTGGCTCTGCAGAGCACCTCAAAGTCTTCATGGCACAAGTTGAGCTTCTATGATTTTTATGAATCCTAGAACACCAATGACCAAAACTATAGGTTTTTTTTTCCTTTTCATTCTCTTAACAAAATAAATAAATGCCATGGACTACATGCTCCCACGTTATCGCTTGTCCACCCTGAGGTATATGCAACGCCATGTGTGAGGCTGTTTGCCAAGGACCCTGAGTCAGTCCTCTGTCAAATTGTTTCCCAAAGTAGGCAAGGCTGTCAAGAACAGGCCATACTATGTATTATAAAATCTGTGGTGTGATGGGCAGGCTTGCTGTAAAAGAAGTCTCCTCTCCACTTCCTTCTAACACAAGAACCAAAGAATCCCATGAATTAATTCTCTCTCTATGGAAAGAGAGTGGCAGGTTGTCGATTGCTCAGCTGGACTCTCTGGGTTTTGTGAATGTGCCAGCAAGTGGTCTGTATGATGAGCTCACTGTCTCTTTTCTGTCCAGGATTTCTGGCTAGATGACTCACCCTATTTCACCATAGACCTTTTATTGAGTGTGCATCATTCCTGGTATTTCACAGTATTTATGCAGAAAGTCTGACCCAGGATGCCCAGCCCAGCATGCATACAGCAGAGAAAGGGCGGTGTCCCTTTTATGTCTTGCATCAGTTACCAGCCCACCCTACTTCCTCTAAGTTCAGGTTCTTCATCTCTCCTCTTTTCCCCCAGTCTGTTCCTTTTAAAAGTAACCATATTTGGGGGAGTGAAACAGCTTTCCTACTTAGCCATTTGGTGTCAGCCTTGGGAAAACTGAGAAGTCCTGAAGAATGAGATACCAGGGCTTTACCCCTTCCAGTCTCTGGCTATAGTATAGATGGAAAGAAAAATCACACATATGTCTGAATGTATGAAACAGGTCAGGTTACTGAAAAGCCACAGATGAGGTTTGAGATTAACATGTGTGTTTTGAGCTTTTATGCTTTTTATGCTTTTCTATGTTCCTCAACTTTTCCACCGTGGCTTTCTGCTTCCTTTATAATTAGGCAGAGCTATCACTTAAGAAAATACTTATCAATTAAGAAGTAATTTGTCACAGGTAAGTGTTCTGTCCTTCATTACTGAGTCTATATAGAAATGTTTATCATACTGCTGTAGAACTTTTCTAAGGAGATGTGGATAAACATCTATTTACTTCACATAGGACACCAACTACACACCAAAGGAACCAGTCCATCCAAGTCTAGTTTGACAGACAAAAGAGTTTCTTACCACTTGCAGTGGCATGTGTGAGGGGTTCCCTGCGGGAATATGAAGGACTCTTGAGCACACCCCAGGGTGAGTGATGACTCACAGAACTGCACCCCTGAGGTTCTCTGCACAACTCCCAGGCAGCTCTGCTGGAAAGTCCCCTCAGCCCCAGTGAGGGCTTATATAACTTGGGGGAGGAGCCGACAAACACGCACAGACTCCTGCAAGCTTGCAGGATGGTTACAACTATTTCCTGTCCATATGGTTCGAAACCAAGGCCTGGCTTTTATTGTCCTTCCCCAGTCACTGGCTGACATGTGAAACAGCAGCTGTTCCTCAGAGTCCTGAACTGACTATTCCAAATGTTTAGGGTTTGCCATGCGCCAAGCACTACTCTAAAAGTTTATATATCTTAATTCATTTAACAGTGATGACAAGTCAGAGCCAGGAATTGTCCCTAAGACCTGAACCTGGAGAGGCAGGTGGAGTGTCTCAATCAAAGACACGTAATATGTAGCGGCCCTTAACCATGCACACGGTGACCAGCACTCTCTGATGACTTTACCGCTTCTGTCTAAAGGACACGGAGCAAGAGAGTTACTTGCATAAAAGAAATACAAGAACTATGGGCCCCTTCCACTTGTTCACACTGAGAGTTGAAATAAGAATGGAGTAAAAGTGGTCAAGAGGAAAACCTTCCACCAGCATCAGTGCCATTGGCCAGACTAAATGTCCACCTGACACTTTAAAGTGTCCTGTTATCATTAACCACCATCTGCATGGACAGGTGGCTATTCCTTCCTCTAGCCTTCACAGTAACTTGGTTTTGAATTTGTACAGCCTTACCAGGACAAACGACTATCCCACTCCATCCAGATGATCTCACATTGTTCTGAATATTCAAAGCTTGAGCCTGGAAATTCTTACTAGAGTTATCTGGAAAACTGAAAAATGGGGCCAACTTCCTGAAGCACTTTGTTTAATACTTCCAAGTGCAAATCTCATGCAAGGTCACAGCAGCTGGTCTTCATAGAGGGTTCCCACATCTGGCGGCAATCTCCCATTCATTCCATTGAGGGGGAAATGACCACGCAAGTTTTGACTTTCCAGAATTTCAAGCGTTAAAAGAGCCTTTGGGGTGGCCTCCTCTAGGAATCCCTCTAGTCCAGGGTGCTTCATGCCCTTCCTGGGTACCTCCAAATTTGGCCAAAGAAAGACAGACATCCCTCACTACAACTAAGGACAAATAATGGGCTGACAATGACAATGTCTCTCAGGTTTTAGAAAGCAGACAGCAGCAGGTCCCATGCCTGGACTTCTAGTTACTATGCTGCCAGTTCAGACATACAAAGACAACCTCGGTGAGAGGTAAGACCTCACAGGCCACTCAGGTTCCCTGCCTCACAGCCTTGTAGAATGACACCATCAGGACAGCTCACAGTGGAAACTTACAGAGACTACTTAGTAACTACAGCGCTTCTGGAGGTTCCAATACTCCCTTTTAGCTACACACCTTTGTTAACCTTCTAAAGACTTCAAGCATCCTGCAAATCTGCTACTGTCTCCATGCACATCAAGAATCACACAGTTGGAGTCTAGCAGATGAGGTGTCTCAGAGGAAGCTGATGGCTTTCTGGGTCAGGTTTGGTCACTTTTGCTTTGTTTTATTTTGAGACAGGGTCTTACCATGTAGCTCAGGCTGCCCAGAGACAAAGGACAATCATTTTGACTCAGCTTCCCAAGACTGGGATTGTAGGCACGGGCTTCATACCCTTCTAACAGGAGTTTAATTCAGAGTTCTCTCCTCACTTTGTAACCTATAAGGAATCACGTGATCTGAAGATGATGGAGTCCCAATTTTTTTTTTGAGAAAAAAAAATGGCTCTGATAGTTCTGAGCTCTAGAACTACCATCCCATATCCATGTTTCTATAGCAACAACTTCTGTGTTCCAAATTATCCCTGACCAACTGATTGGCATGCAGAGAACTTATGTCTTGCATTGTTGGTTTTCCTTGAGTTCATGGATTTTGTGAATGCTCTGAGTGTCCAGTAGATACCAGGTACTGTGCCAGCAACTAAGACTTAACAGTCGGTGTAGGAACTGGGAAGATGGCTCAGCAGTTTCAGGGCACTGGAAGCTCTTGAAGAGGGCCTGGGCTCAGCTCCTAGCACCTACATGGTGGTCATCACCATCTCTAACTCTAGCTCCAAGAGATCTGTTATCCTGTCCTGGCCACCTACAGGTAGCAGGCACACACAGTCACTGTGTGATATCATGTAGATAGAGACGCACATGGCAAGCATACATATATACATACATACATACATACATACATACATACATACATACGTACATACATACCTATCCCTTCTTTAAGTCAATGTAGAGAGCTCACAGTTGTGAGAGAGGTGAACAAGTCCTTCAGAAGCACAAAATGAGACAAATGGATTCTGATGAGGTTCTAGAAGACTTTAAGGGAAAAAGGGCCGCAACCTAAGCAGGGCTGGTTACATATACAAAAGATGGGGAAGGGGCATGTGAGCTGGAGGAACGGTACCAGAAAAGCTCAGAGGCATACATAGCTGAACAGTCAGGGACACAGCAGGCAGTCTTTGTTGTTGTTGTTGTTGTTTTGGGTTTTTGTCTTTTGGTTTTTTGTTTTTTGAACAGCAGGCATTCTTATGTCTACAGCAAAAGTGGGAGTGGGGAAAATAGAGCCAAGAAATGAAAGCTGCTAACTCCTCCCACTTAAGATTCCAGACTTTACCTGAGTCTGCTGGCAACTGCCAGCCATCCATCAGGTGGTTTTAAGGAAGGAACATGTGATTGGACTGATGTAGGAGAAAGACAGCTCTCTCAGCAGCATGGAGAATGAAAGCGTGGGGGAGGGGCTGGAGTGCAAGCCAACTTAAAATCGGGGCATCTGCAGTCTCAGCCGCCTTCCTGCAGAGATCCTGCAATGTGTCTTGAATGGATTCTTCAAACTTCCACTCAAGGATAACAACCTACTGAAAATTATAGCATCTGTAGCCACCAATTTAAACTCCATTATTAGAAACATCCAGGGCAAAGTGTATTACCATCTCAAACAAAGAGGTTGCCATGGATACAGAGGGCAGGGAGGACGCTCACTGATGGCAGATGCTCAAGGTTGCAGTAATTACGCTCAAACAGCAGTGTTTGCTGTTTAGTCAGAATGAATACTCTTCATTTTGTGTTAGGAATTACATTCCTCCTCCTCTGGAAGTGCCCCCACAATGCTACTATGCTTGGCAATTCTGCTGACTCACAAGAAATGGATTTCTAGTTCAAGTACTTTAATACCACCTTGGCCGCCCTATTTGTCTTCTCTTTTTGTGTTTAGGCAATTAAAATTAATCAGTGATAATTTATGAATGTCATGTGTTCTCTTTCCGCTTCACTGGACTACGTGTTTGTAACTGTGTCTGTGGTGACTTTCCCACACACACATACAGTTTCCAGGTGGGGGTGATACTGTTGTGCTCCTTTATGTCCCTACATCACTTCATTCTGGGAATCCCCCTGTGTGGTCATGGGTCTTCAGAGAAAAAGAATCTTTCACCCACATGCAAGCACATAAGACAAGGCACATTTTAAGATGTGACTCATGTGATGATGCAGGATAGGAGGTCCCACTGCAAACCATCACTTAGCTGGACACACAGCACACCCAACAATGCAATGCGGCCCAAATTCAAATGTTTATGACTTATGGGGGTCAGTAGTCTACATTACAGAGGCTAGAGATCCAAAGATGAAAATCTCCAGTGAACAAGAGAAGATGATTTGTGACTCCTTCAGCTCAGCCAGAGTATAGTCAAGCATCTTCCACATTGCAACAAAAGATGATTATCCCAGTTCAAGCTATTTGGGGGGTGTCTTCTCAGGTTGGGAACAAGACATTTGCCATTCAGTCTTCTGATACAAGAAGCACTGTCACAAGTACATTAGCAACAGTATCTGGGCCAAGATGAATGGCATGTAAGTTAACCATCCCATCCCTTACTTTCCTCTTCCTCCTTGTGGATTAAAGTGACTTGACCATGATGCCCCCTGAAAGCTACTGCAAGTTTGAAGAGATGAGGCTGATGAGAACTTGTCTAAAGTGGGGTTAGTGAGAGTCGACCTGGGGTTCCCAGGGACACTGGAACAGAGAGTCTCGCCTCTGCACTCCCAGAGTCAGCATGGGCTGCTGGTGGCTATGTGGTACCTGCGGGTGAGGATCATTTGCAGAAGAATGAAACTGAGAGATGATGGAGAGTAAGTTCTGCAGCATCTCTTGAGAACTTGGGCTTGACTGTCTACAGCAACCTCTGAGCTCATGGGTCAGTGCTCCCTTCCCTGCTTTGTTCTCTTTAGCAAGGGCTGACTTGGGTTTTCATCCCAGGTCGCGGCATTTCTGAATCTCAGAATCTGGAACCAATGAGAAGGAAAAAGACAGAATTCACATAACTGTTCCTGAATTTAAGAGTCTTTAGCCCTGCCCCACACCTCCAAGGACAGTATGACCTTTCACCCAAACCATCACCATCATTTTCTCCACTCCTCAGTCCATTCACACCTGCAAGCATTCCCTATGCCTCAAAGGGAATAATAAGTCTGTTGAAAAATGTATTAAATAACAATTATTATTATTTTATGATAATCTATGTCTATGTGCATCTGTTTGTATGTATGTGCATGTAGATAAGGGTGTGTATGTGTGCATGTGTAGGTGTCTGTATGTATGTGTGTAGACTCCCTGGTCAGCCAGCCTGCTTATTTGACTAGATTCAGGCCAGTAAAAGATCTGTCTCTCTGACCTCTCAAGATGGATCCCCAAGGTGATGACTTCTGAAAAATGACACCCAAGGTTTTCTTGTGGTCTATACACACTGACACACATACACACTTACATACACATGTGCAAGTACATGCTCTCACACAAACCATTAAATGGGGGAAGGTCTGTGAAATCACTGCAAGTGTGGGAACCCACTTAGCAAAGGGGTAAAGAAGACATCAGGAACAAGAGTGATGTGTTTTCCAACCAGCTCCTGTGTAATGGTCAAGTCTTACAAGATGAAGTATGAACCTAAGAGTTGTAAGCACACATTTTTGAGAGGCCTGGAAACAGCGCAGAGGTAAAAGTGAGTACCTTGAAATACCATGTGGGTTCCCACACTGGAATACTCAAGCAACAGCTCCCTAAATGTCTCAAGCAAGAGAGTTGTGTGACTGTGCTCTTGGCTCATCGCATGAGCCGGTGGGTTGGAATGCACATCTGTAAGCATTAAGAGGGGGAAAGGCCACATGATGCTAAAGCCATTGATGTGAATGAATACAATGTGGCAGCCAGATCGCCCTGCCATTTAGATGACTGAGTATGTGAGAGTAAACCAAGACCAACAAAGAATGGTCTCACCGGGTGGTAGAAGAGAAAAGTGCTGAATATGGAGTTTCCCCATTGGCATGGGGTTTAAACACTTGATCCCCGACTGGTGGCACTGTGTAGGAAGGCTGTACAATCTTTAGGAGGTGGAGGCTTGCTTGAGAAAGTAAGTCACTGGGAGTGGGCCTCAAGGTTTTATAGCCTGGCTCTAGTTCCGGTCAAATTCTCTACTTCTTAAGGATGAGATGTGACCAGCTGGCCTGGCATCCTGTTTTCCCCCACCATGATGAACTGTATTCCCTCAACAAAATGAGGCGTCACTCCCTAATTAACCTCTTGCCAGGTATTTAAGTCACAGTGGTGATAAACACAGCTAAACAGCAAGATCCTGTGTTCTTGGATGATATTTTACTTTTTTACTCTTTGGGCTTTTTGCCCTTTTAGGGGGCCGGCCACCCGGCTCCCAAATAAATACACTCACAGAGGCTTATTCTTAATTATAAATGCCTGGCCCTAGCTTGGTTTGTTCTAGCCAGATTTTCCTAATTTAAATTATCCGACTACCTCTTGCCTCTGGACTTTTTCCTTTTCTTTCTTCTGAATATCTTACTTTCACTCTTACTCGGTGGCTGGCTGTGTAGCTAGCTGGGTGACTGGCCCCTAGCATCTCCTCTCCTTGTTCTCGTTTCTCCTCCTTTTCTTGTTTCTTCTTCTTTTTATTCTCTCTGCCTGCCAGCCCTGCCTATCCTTTCTCCTGTCTTGCTATTGACCGTTCAGCTCTTAGTTAGACCATCAGGTGTTTTAGACAGGCAAAGAATCACAGCTTCACAGAGTTAAACAAATGTAACATAAAAGAATGCAACACATCTTTACATTGTTGAACAAATATTCCACAGCATAAACAAATGTGACACACCTTAAAATGATATTCTACAACAGCCATGACTGAGTCAAGAGGCCTAGAGATGAAGAGAACTACATGCCCAGCTTCCCCTGTTGCAGACCAGCTGGCACTGCTCAGAGGGACCCAGGGCTATGCTGCCACCTCACCTGTGACCCCCACAGCACCAAAGACTAGGAGCCTGGGGCATGACCTGACTGTGGCTTTTTCTCACTCCTGGACCTATTATGCAAATTTCACATAGAAAGGGATATCTCCAACTAATGGAATTGAGAGGCCTTCACACTCTGAAGAGGGACTCTGCCCTTCCAGACTTTAGGATTTTTTCTGTCTAATGGGTTGAAAAGAGCTTACACCCCCAGAAACAAACCCAAAGACACAATGACAGTATTTCTTAATTCTTTATATTTTTTTAACCAGCCAACTTTTAAAATCCCAGACATAGAGACATAAATGCATATTCTCCAAAGCTAAAGCTGTTTCCAGGCATTCTCCTGGGAGGAGAAAAAGGAAGAACTTCAAAAGATAAATGGCAACTCTAGCTTGGACATAAAGACTTAATTTAATATTACTAATTATGGGATTGCATCTCAAATCCAATGAATAGATTCAGCCCTCTGTATTGGAGATAAAATCATTTAACATGATTTGACAAGCCTATGCCTCAGCAACTAATTAATTTTGCTACAACCCACCAATCAATATGCACGGCCTAATGCTAACTGGAGATGACATCCTGCCTCCACTACTATGGATGGTGCTCTTCTCAGAGACTTCTAGAAGGCTTTTCTGCTGCTGTTCTCAGAAGGAGGGCCAGAGGCCACAGGACAACACTCTGCTTGAGATGCCACCTCCGTCCACACGCATCTGCTTGGATAAGTACGTTCTTCCCAGCTCACTTCCCTCACTCACCACCCCGTGTGCTTCAGGTGGCTCAACCTTCATTAGCAGCATCAGCTCCGGATGGCGGAACACGTGTTCCTGACACTCAGAACCCGGAGCCTGGCTCACCTGCGCCACTGGCTTCTGAGATTAATTCAAAGGGAGGTTTTTCATAACAAGGAGGTAACACAATGGCATGCAACAGGGAGGAGAGGAAGCACAGCACTACAGATGATGGAGCTGGTGAGCCAGCAACCACACGGAGCAGGAAGCTGAGTTGACTGGAGACCATGATATCTTCGGAAAGCACAACGCCCACTTGCAAAATGGCGGGTGGGGGGGCGGAGGGGGGGCGGCGGGGGACGACTCTTTATCTTACCAAGTGGTCAGACTCTCAGGATGACTACAGCCTGTCTGGATGCTTATATTCAAAAATACCTGCCATGATGGGCACAGGATACAAGCAAGTCCCGCAAACACATGACTTCAGCAAAGGGGGCACGAATCTCTTTGTGATTTGCTATATAGACTCTGGGAAAGGGACCAGTTTTCTCTACCTTTTGGAAAACACCCGTGACTCTCAGTAGTCACAATCATCATTCCTATGGTGGACAGGACATGGGATGAGACAATGTGACAGGAAACAGCCAAGACAAGGACAAAGACAGACCTGGGGCCCAGGATGGGGCACAGGATGTGACTGAGCTCCTGGATCAAGATGCACCTGGTACTTATAACTAACACCACATATCCCAGTCTTAATTTCATGAGTAGAGCTATGTGTTTTCTACTTGAGCTGTGTGGTACTTGTTACCTCTGACCACATACTCATTGGATGAAACATCTCCCAGGACAGTCACCACCACCCTTGTATAAGCATAACTGGCCCCAAAACTATTTTAACCAAAATGTTTGGGAAATTTGCCAAACGTTTGGGAAATACCAGCCTAGAATTACTGAGTAGTAGTTTTGTTGGTATGCTGTTTTGTCTTATTTTTCCTTCAAGTTATAGTCAGCCTGACAGTTTAATAATCCTGTGTCTCCTTACATATATTTTCTTTAATTTAGCATAATAGATGGCACAAAATATTCAATGGCAGCAGCAAATTTACAAATTCCAAGTGGGTTTTTATTTCATAGTTATCCAAACGTGAGCAAGAGCATATTTCATTGTCAATGTTTTCAAGTCTCATTTGGAAAATGTGTAACTGGGGCATTCCAATTCTGGGGGAGCTTTATTCCACCTCCTGATGTTAGAAACTCAGGAAAGGAAGGACCACAGCATCTTTCAACCATTCTGTTGCACTGGAATGGAGGCCACCAGAAATCAAGTGAGTAAAGCAAACTAGACTTTGACTCTACAAGGCAGAGCTGCAAGGAATCTGAACTTAGCCATTCAGTCTCATCTTTTCTATTCTCTGCCTGCTGAGAGCATTTCCTTCATACACCACTCGGAAATGGACATTTTTTTCTTTCTTTTATTTTTTACCATTCATATTTGGTTCTTTCATAGGTCTCTGGGTCCTGACCCTCAGTGGGGAACTCCCTCTCTGGGTATGGGCTTCCAGCTGGGCCAGTCATTGGTTGGTCACGCCCACAATTTCTATGCTATCTTTACCCCAGCACATCTTGTAGACAGGAAAAATTATAGTCGAAGGGTTTGTGGCTGGGTTGATATCCCAGTCCCTCCCCTGATGAAATGATTCCTAACAATATTCTGCTATACTCATAGGTTGGTGCCTAGCCCAACTGTCATCACAGAGGCTTCATTCAGCAACTGATGGAAACAGATACAGAGAACCACAGCCAAACATTAGGTAGTGATGCTGTAACGATAAACGGCACACTTACTGAAAGTAAAACTAAGTATTTATTGTAGAAATTACTCACAAGATACCAAACAAGTAACCCAGATGGGCCGAGTAGTTTTCCGCTGCCGAACTGGAAGCCAAAAGCCGGAAAAAGAGACCAAGACTTCCGTTCTTCTGTCTTTTATGCCTTTCCCCGTAACACCCCGTAGCCATGCCCAAAAGTGGGCCTGGCTAGTGACGTAGTTCACCGCCTACGTACGTATACGTCTTTATATCTGTCCGTATACGTCTTTAGTCGTGCCTAAAGTGGGTGTGGTTAGCGGTGTGGTAAACCGCTCTTTTATTACCTCATCTGTATGCGCCTCTAGTAAGTCACATGGCTAATGGCGGCATTGTTTTCCTCCTACAAGGTAGAGCTCAGGGAATACTGTGGAAGAGTGGAAGGAAGGATTGTAGGACCCAGTAGTGTGAAGGGCACCACATGAAAACCCACAGAACAAACTAACCTGAGCTTGTAGGTGCTCACAGAGACTGAACTAACAACTAGGGAGCCTGCATGGGACTGACCTAGGCACTCTGCATATATGTGGCAGTTATGTAACTTGGTCTTCTTGTAAAACTCCTAACAATGAGAGCAGGAGCTGTCTCTGAACTGTGCTGCCTGCTTTTGGGGCCTATTTCTCCTACCTCCTATCAGATTACTATATGCATCCTTAGAAGAGGAGATACCTAGTCTCACAGCAACTTGATATACCATGCCTGGCTGAAGAAGACTGCTGTCATACAGTGTTGGCCCATTGCACATATGAAATCACAGCAGCTATGGCTTCATGCTCAGAACCAGCAGAAAGTCAACCCAGCCCAGATCCCAACATGGATGGGAAAGGAGCTCACAAAACCTACCGCAGCTGAGCTATTGACTTGGGATGGCTACTGGGGTCAAGAGAGTCGGTTTTGTCCAGGGATTCAGTGCCTGGGAGGCTGCCCATGTTCCAGTGAATGTCCCTATACTTGTGCACATAGGAGCAGCACCAGGAAGTCTCTGGTTAAATAAAAGCATGCTTGAAATGGGAGATCTGATGGCAGGGATCCAGAAGGCATTAGAGAGGAGGAACTGAGCATGGTATGAAATTCTCCCTGTGTGTGTGTGTGTGTGTGTGTGTGTGTGTGTGTGTGTGTGTGTGTGTGTGAACACACACATATATTTTAGAACTTTGCACATACACAACCATAGGCTTAAAAAGTGAATAACCACAGGATGATTTTTCCTAGCTCAGCAGCTTTGCAGTGTCACTTAACATAGCTCCTGGTGACAATACAAGTATCCTGCTGCTTACGAACAGGAAGTGGCCTCTAATCCATCTACCCCTTAGGGAGAAACCTGGGGTGTCTCCTCAGAGTCCCCAGCAGGTGAGCTCCCTAGGAGGCCGACCTGCAGACCTTCCAGGCTTATCCACCAAATACGGTGGCCCTAACAAGCTCTAAATCAAAGCAGAATACAAGAATGGCGGGGCAGATGAGTCCTACAGGCAGCTGAGCTGTTTACTGAGTTAGACAGTCCACAGGACAAGGGCAGCTAGGAACAATTTGCTGAGATGTCTGCTGAAAGTAGAAGTTCCAGTTCCCTGGAACTTCACCTGCTGGAAGCTTGAATGAACCCCAGAGAAAGAGACATCCGTGCCCCATTGTACACACAAGGAGGAGCTATGCACATGAATCACTGCCCTGACAGCCACTCCCTGCCCGCCATTAGCCAATTTAATTACCTTTCCTCACATGCCGTCCGTCCGTGTGGTGAGCCCTGTGCTCTATCTATGACACGCCTGTGTGCCTTACCTGCCTTGGCAAGGCCTCATGCTCTGGCTTCCCTGAAGACCCCTACTTAGCATGAATGACCATCTGATCCAAAGTGAAGCAGCAGGCAGACTGCCCTATTTTAATTTCTGTTGCTGTTATGAAAAGCTACTTAGCGGAGGACAGGGTTTATTTCAGCTTACAATTCCAAAGTCAAGGCAGAGACTTCAAACAGCTAGTCACATGGCATCCGTAATCAAGAATAGAAAGAAATGAAAGCATGCATGTTCCCTCGATTGCTCCCTTGTAATGAGCTCAGATCATCCACTCATGTAGTTCAGGGAACCCCTGCCTAGGGAATGGTACCATCCACAGTTGGCTGGATCATCCTACATCAATCAACTTTAGACTATCTCCTACAGGCATGCCCACAGTCTTTGCAGAGACTTCCCAGGTAATTCTAGGTTGCCAATTGATGGTAAAAAAATAAAATCATGACAGGCATTATTATCATTGTAGAATGCCCATGCCACAGATCCTCAATACGTTACAGTATCAGAAACTACCAAGTCTGCCGCTCCCTCAGCCTTTCTGTGGACCAATATAATGCAACACGAACAACTCCTAGTTGATCATATCCTCTTCCTGTCAGTGTGAACGCCTAATTACTTGCAGCAGGTAATTGAGAAAGACCTGAATGTCTTACTGCAGGTATACTGTCTCCGTGTCATTTAGTGCTGAAAGAACTTTATTTTCTCCCTTTCAGACATCAAAGGCAAAAATCTGGTGACTTATTTCTAGAAAATAAAGGAGGTAAAAGCAAAGGGAATTAAGATGAGCCTGCATCTTAATCATCAGTGTGTCTTGATGTATGCCAGGACAATGACACTGTTATAACTACTCTGGGAAGGAAGCAGGGCCATATTTATTTTCTAGCCAAGTTTACATGAGAAAAAAATTGCTTCACCTAATCTGGGAGCTCAGATAACAGCTGAACTTGCCTGATGGTTTTTCTCTCCAATTGGTATCTGTTGTTTATCTAGTAGGTTCATGACAGAAATTACCTTACATCTTTCCTATGGGCTTTCGATTTTGTCTTTTTCAGCATTTGCACAAAGAACTGTCAGTGCACCACACAGGTCCTGAAGGAAGACCATGGGCTGAGTCTGGAGAGAGTCACTGGATTTGGGCAGAGGTTTCTCAAACGGGCTGAGGGTCACTGTTCTTACAAAGAGGACACATTTCTGTGGAAATCACACATGTATTCATCCTCCACCCAACCCGTCTTCCTTTCACAGAACAGAGAACAAGTGGGATGGAATTGTTGCTCACAGCCAGCATCAGAAGAACCACATTAGGAGCCGGGTTTATGATACAGAGTTGGGTTCTTACACTTCCTCTTTAATAGTACTGTTTACCCAACTGCATTGTATTTGCAAGCTCATACAACATCTTTACTGCTGTGTGCGTTGTAAAGATGAATCCATTTGTTTCCGTGTTGTTTTAAGTGCCACCTGTCACTTCTAGGATCCATATTGGGGGCTGACCTACTAAAAACAAAAGAGGTGGCATCTGTTGGATGTGACTCTCAAGTTCCAGGAGGCCTGTGGAGCTCCAAATGCCACCCAGCTTGGCTCAGGACTCCAGCTCTAGTCGCAACTCTAGTTTGCAGTCAAAACCCCCAAAGTGAAAAGCTACTTACTTTGTATTAGTTGTTGGACCTCTAAAAAGTCATGTGATATTTCTGGGCTGACATTTCCCTTCTGTGAAACTGGAGGCAGTGATATTCTACAAGGCACCAAAACTCTTAAGGAAATATGAGTGGAGCTTGATGAGTAAGCACGACATTTTCCAGGAATGCAGGAGCCTGAGTGGACATACAAAAGGTCCTTTGTTTTGGCTAAACATGGATATGTTTACAAAATAAGAAAGGGAAGCAAGGAAAAGGGAAAGTCATGCTACCAAGCACCCAAATTCAAGAAGGGCCACTGACCTCACACAGCCAGTCCCTACCAAGGGTGAACCCGATGTGAAGCAATGCTAAGATCTCACAGGAATATGACATTCTCCAAAAACATATGCAAAATAAGTAAGGCCTAGCTAGGCATCTGTCTGTAAAGGTTATTAGCAAGACAACCTGTTTACATCTAAGACACACCTAGGGACTCTTGCCATCATTATCCCAGGGCAGAAAATGGGACTAAGTTGGGGTGATTTATACACTGAAATAATATACTTTGGTAGCTCAATGTATACGAGTACCTGCTGTACAAGCACGAGAGCCCACATAAAAACCTGGGCGTGGCCACACACACACACACACACGTGTGCTCATACACTACGAACACAGCAAAGTAATGGGGGGAGTAATAGAATTTCATTTATACTGGGAAGCTGGTAGGAAGTAAAAGCTACGGTGGGGTATAAAATCTTTACCATTGCACACCTTACTTGTGCTTGTTTGGGAGTCCTTTGGTTCCGGGGATAAGCAGTTTGCTTGCACAGGAGCCTGTCCTTGCTGCTACCTAGGGGACATGTTCATCATAAGCCAGGACTGCAAGCACAAACTGGAACATTATGTAAGTTTTTCCTCTCTGATTCTACCACCACACTAGCTACACTAGTCCATGGTAACTCCTATAATGACTACAGCACGTGAATTCTCCACATCCATGGGCAGGATGGACAGACAGATGCTTATGCCTGAGTCAGGGAGATGGTGCAGCCATGTCCCAGAGCTGATGACTATAGGGCCAGTTACTCAGATGAAACTCATGCGTTCCAGTGTTGGGGTTCAGGAAATATGGTCATGGTGTCCGTGGGCAATCAGACTTTCCCATCACCGTGACAAACACCAGAGCATAAGGACATAGGGGAAGAAACTGCTTGTTTGGTTTCAGAGGCTTCTGGCCATATTTCACAGCTCTGTTCATTCTGGGCCCGAGGCAGAGCACCACAAAAGCACGATGCACATGGTAAAAGACACTCTACTCATGATGGACCCAAAGCAGACACAAGGAAAGGCCAGGGCAACGTGTCCTCCAAGGACATGTCCTCATTGGCCCACTGCCTTCAACCAGACCCCATTCCCTGTGAGAGGGTTGGCTGAGCTTGCAGGGCCTTTCTTTCTCTCGGTGGGCGGGGCCTTTCTTTCTCTCGGTGGGCGTGACTTTCTGTGACTCGGTGGGCGGGGCCTTTCTGGCTCTCAGTGGGCTTCACTCAGAGATTAGGGCTCCAGGAACTCAGTGACCACCAAGACCACCCTGAGCCGGTAGTTTCCGAGTTTGTTGTCTCATACTCAAAGTAACAAGGAAATATGGACAAGGAGCTGAG